AACTGTGCCCGACTTACCAGTGAGTCACTGGTGCTTTGGGAGATTCCTGGGGCGAGAAGGCAGGGAGACGTGGACTTTGTGTGCACGTCCCGCACCCCCACTCAGGCGGCGTGTGGTGCCTGCGTCTGAGGTGGGGGCGCGTCCCAGCACGGGGGTCCCCGGGGGCCGGCCAAGCGGTGGGCGTGCGGGGCCCTGTCCTTCCTGGAAACTTTCCCGTGAGTGGACCGCGGCCGGCAGGGAGCAGATGTCCTCTAGCTTCCCACGGAACACCCTGCAGTGGCCCCAGCGGGGCCTAAAAATAGACCTGGAAAAATGCCTGTGACCCTCTGTCACCCCTGTTCTGGGTAAAGGAAGTGCAGGAAGGGGAGGCCGAGGGGAGCCTGGGCCCGGAAGGTCCTAGAAGTTCCAGGAGCCCTGGGGGGGGTGCGGGGTTGGGGGAGCTCCAGGACAGCAGCTGGCCCAGGGAACCGGGAAGCCAGGGGCCTGGTTTCCAATCACGGACGGAATTGTGCTCCCTCCTGGGGTGTCAGCAGGAAGGGGGAAGTGTGAGAGTATGTCAGCAGAAACACAGATGTGGCTTTGCCTAGAGGATGCTGGGACATGAAAGAGGCACATGTTGAGGCCCCGGCGGCCCCCAGGACCCCCATGTGTCACCAACCAGGCGGCTCCCTCACAGACAGGACACCCCGACTGCCCTCATTGCACCCCTGGGCCTCCATCCAGGCCCAGACTGAGAATGTGGGAGCCGACGACCTGGAGCAGGCAGCTGGGCCCAGGGATTGTCCTTTCGAAATGTCACTGCAAACGGCAGAGGTTCAAGGTGAACGCCGTCAGCCACCTGTGTTCCTGGAGGCTTCCTGGAGGTGGCGGGTCCGTGCAGTGGCTTTACGGTCCACGGCCTGACCCTTGGACCTGGCGCGCCTGTTGGTTCTTGGACTCTGGTTTCCAGTGCCTTCTCCACCCCGCAGGGTCCCTGTGTCACGCTCTGGATGCCCCACAGGGACAGGCCTGCACCCCGATTCTCTGAGGATGGAGGCCCCCCCTGCTGGGTGGGGAGGGGGCCCACAGCCCTGTGGCGGCTACCTTTAGTCTCTGAGCACACGGAAGGGCTGGGCTCCGTGGCAGACGTGGCTGGGAAGCCAGTGTCCCCAGCTGCGGTCCTTCACAGTCCCTTCTCCAGATTGAGGGTTAATTAAGCCTTGTCGCCCGGGGCAGGGAACAAAACCCTGGCGCTGCCCAGAGTTGGTGCTGAGTCGTGAACAAAAAGCCACTTTCATGAGGAGCGCTGAGCTTGCTGTTTTCCGGAACAGGGGACGGGGGGATGGAGAGGACAGGGTGACAGGAACAAAGCGGGATCTCATTTGCCTCCCGCCTCTTCTCGGGCGGTGGCCATCTCAGGCGCCACGCGGCTGTGACGTGGGATTCCCGAGATCGCTGTGGCACGGCGACTCGAGAGCGTGCAGCCCTGTGGCTGCGGCAGGACCACTGAGAGCATCATTGTGACAGCGTCACCGGCCGTAGGGGAGGTGCCCCGCCAGGTGCGCACAGAGCCCACAGACCGTGCACAGCGCTCCCATAGTATCCGTTTAGGTTACCAGAATCCCATGTCCTCCTCCAGGAAGCCTTCCAGCTCCTGGCAGAGAGAGGCGGTCCCCCCCACAAGTGCCTCTAGATGTAGGAAGCAGTGCCCGTCCCCCGGGACTTACAGTGTGGTTTGTACAAGTACAGCGTTAGCTGGGAGCCTGGGTTAAGTGTCCGACTCTTGGTTTTGGCTCAGGGTCACGACCTCACGGTTCATGCGTTCGAGCCCCACATTGGGCTCTGTGCTGACAGTGTAGAGCCTGCCTGGGATTCTCTCTCACGGGCTCTCTCTGCCCCTCCCCTGCTCGTGCTCTCTGTGTCTCTCACAAATAAATAAACTTAAAACAAAAATTACAACATTAGCACTAGGCTTCTCTGGAGACAAAAGTGTACTGAGCATGTAAAACATGGACACTGAAATTCCTTCCTCTGCTCCCCCCCTCCCCGAATTGGACAAGGCGTGATGTTTCAAAGTTTGTCACTGGTTTCCATAAGTTTGACTATTAAGCGAATACATGCCGTTTTCCTTTTACTCATCTTGATTCGATTTCACGAATTGCTTTCTAAACCTGCGGCTTCATTTCTTTAGTCTGTGTGGATGGATTCTGTAAATATATCTTCCGCCATATTGCTTCTTCCTCCTTCCATCCCTCCACTCCCTCGTTGGACCCTGGTTGTGTGTGTGATGGAATTTCTCCCCACGTCCCACATGGCTTTATGTTCCTCCCTGTCTTCCACCCCTTTCCTACCAGGGCTTGTGGCAGATGCTTCTCAGCCTCCACCCCCAACCCCAGCATGCCCACCTGTGCCTCTGTCACCCCCAGTCTGCCCATGCAGCCAGTCATGGGCCTCCCGCTCCATGCCACGAATTTTGTTTTCAAGTCCTAGGATTTCCACTTCATTATTCTTTTTCTTAAATTATTTTGATCTTTATTTATTTTTGAGAGACAGACAATGCAAGTGGGGGAAGTACAGAGACAGGGGGAAATACAGAATTTGAAGCAGGCTCCAGGCTCTGAGCTGTCAGCACAGAGCCTGACATGGGGCTCCAACTCATGAACTGTGAGATCATAACCTGAGCTGAAGTTGGACACTTAACTGAGTGAGCCACCTAAGTGCCCCTTAATCGCTTTTTAAATTACATATTTGAATTGTGTCCAAAAATTACAGATAAATAGGTAGATAGTAGATAGATAGATGGTGGAGAGATAGGTAGTTAGATGATGGATGATAAGTAAGTAGATGGACAGATGGATGGTTGGATATGTAGGTGGTTGGCTGGATAGTTAGGTAGCTGGATGGATGATGGATGGGTGATGAATGGATGAAATGGTTAAGTGGATGGATGATGGATGGATGGATGGTTAGGTAGCTGGATGGATGGATGGATGAATGGGTGATGGATGGATAGATAGGTAGGTGGGTGGATGGATGGATGGTTAGATAGCTGAATGGATAGATGGATGATGGATGGACAGATACATGATGGGGTGGATGGATGATACATGATTAGACAGGTGGGTGGGTAGATGGATGGATGAGTCCATCGGTCCATCAGTTGATGGATAAACAGGTGGAGACAGGCTCCAGAAGGTGGTGTACCTCCAGAGAGGGAGATTTTCTCCAGGGCAGACACTTAGGTCCTGGTGGGGCTGATCTGTCTCTGGTGCTGGTATTCCCACAACGTGGCCCTCTGGGGTCTCACCTGGAATCCCTTTTGGCAAGGGCCCCTCTTCCTGGGTGAGTGCTAGGAGCCCCCCCGTGAAACTGCCCAGACCCCTGCTTGTTCCATGGATTCCCGGCAGCGACCGCAGTCTTACCAGGCATTTGGCCCCCTTCCCCCAGCTGTGCGGTCCGAAATGCCTCAGGGGGAAGTTGTTCTCGGAATGTTTCCTCACTTGCTTCAAGGCCCAGCTGCCCAAGTAGCTCAGAGCCTCAATCTTTCTCTCTCCAATCAGTGGGACTTCCACAGCCCTGACCACGGGCTTCTGTCCAGGCTCTGTTCCACGTGCCCCAGACAGGTCTGTGGCCACAATGTGCGTCCCACCCTAATGCCATCCCCTTTCCGGAATCGAGTCATATGAGCAATGGGGAGTTTTTAAAAACTTTTTTATGCTTTTATTAACTCTCTCGTGTAATTTTTTAAACTTATTCTTTATATGTTTTTATTAGAGAAAGAGGGCGTTTACACAAGCAAGGGGTGGGGGGGGAGAGAGAGAGAGAGAGAGAGAGAGAGAATCTTAAGCAGGCTCCACACTCAGTGCAGAGCCCGATGTGAGTCTCAGTCCCACAACTGTGACCAAAGTTGGGACTCCCTAACCAACTGAGCCCTACGGGTGCCCCAAGTCACCCTGGTTCTAAAGGGGAGAGCAAAAGAAACTGTTTCTTACAATGTTATTTTATTGACCATGGTAGATTTTTCCAGTCCTTAAAGCTGGGTATTAAAAACAAAAAAACAAAAAAAAAAAAAACCAGGCAAGGTGGGCGCTTGGGTGGTTCAGTGGGTTAAGAGTCCAACTTTGACTCAGGTCATGATCTCAACAGCTTGTGAGTTTGAGCCCCACATCGAGCTCTGCATTGACAGTGTGGAGCCTGCTTGGGATATTCTCTCTCTCTCTCTCTCTCTCTCTGCCTCTCCTCTGCTTGCTCTTTCTCAGAACTAAACAGTAAAAGAAACAAGATTGTACAAATATCTAGAAATGATGGAGATGCTGGGCCAGAGGGCATTTTGTCCTTGAAAATGGATAAAACTCCACAGGGTGTGTGGCTTGGTGTTAAACTGCAGGTTTCGTGGCCCTCACCTTCTCACTCCCGGAGTGGCAGGGGCCAGGACAGGGTCAGCAGCCATCAGGGCTGTGCTCTCGGCCCAGGGTGTGGGCTCAGATACCAGCTGAGGGCAGATGGGGGCAAAGCGCCCACGGAACCTCAGCTACGGAGCCTGCGCTTCATGGAAAATATGTCTTATGTGGAGGGTCTGCTGCTGGTTTGCAGAGAAGGCCTTGTCTTTTCTTCCTTCCTTCCTCCCCTTCTTTCTTTTCTTTCTTTCTTTCTTTCTAAAAAATATTAATAAAAGAAAGAGAGAGAGAGAAGGGAGGGTCAGAGAGACAGGGAGACCCAGAATCTGAAGCAGCTCCAGGCTCCAAGCTGTCAGCACAGAGCCTGACGTGGGGCTCGAACTCACGAACTGTGAGAAGCAGGAAGTGGGGTGCGTGGAAGCGGGGGGGGGTTGTGGAAGCGGGGCGCTTGTTCCGTCCGCGTCCTGCATCTGGGGAGTGTGCCGAGCCAGAATGACGGGGGCTTGCTGGCGTCGGCCCTCCCTGCAGCCCTCCCTGCAGCAGGGATCTTCCAGAGCGACCCCGCCCCTTGTGGAAGAGCCAACAGGCCCGTAAGCGCGTCTCACTCCGGTTTTCTCGCTGCAGAACTTCGCGGCTGCCCTGAGCCCCCGCTGCGCGCTGCGGGGATGTCCGAGAGCCCCGTCGGGCCCAAAGCTGCGACGCCCCGGGCCGACATGCCGGCCGCACCCTCCTCCTTCCAGCGGGCATTCCCATCCAGCACCAGCTCCAGCAGCAGCCCTGGCCAGCGGCGCGACAGGTAAGGGGACGGGCCCTTGCGCTTGGAGGGGCCGGCCTTGCACACAGACGGAAGCCGTGGGAGGGGAGGGCGGTACAGCCACACACAGCTGCTCTGTGCGCGGAGAAGGATCGCTCTTCAGGTCGTCACAGATAGAAACTCAGAGAGCATCCTCCCCACTGGTGATGGGCCAAGCCCACCGGCAGGTGGCGCCTGGGGTCAGTGGCCAGTTAAGGACGGGCGTGTGTGACAGCATGCTCCGAGCTGAGCCTGGAGCGGGGGTGGGGGGCAGGGGCCGCCAGGGCTGTAGACTGGGCGGAGGGCTGGCGGTGCTCTTAGTGACAGGGCATTTGTCCCCGTGCTCGGGAAAGCACAGGGACACCTCCGGTGGATTGGGAGAGCAGGAGGGGCGCAGAGAGAGACACACGTCACGTGGGGGCAGCCCTCGAACCATCGCACACGCCCTGATCAGGAACGGTTTCTTAGCATTTCCCTAGAACACCTCACACCCCAGCTCACGTTTGATTCTGCCTCTTTCTTTTTTTTAATTTTTTAATGTTTGTTCATTTTTGAGAGAGAGAGACAGAACATGAGTGGGGGAAGGGCAGAGAGAGGGAGAGAGAGGGAATGCCAAGCAGGCTCCGCACTGTCAGCGCAGAGCCCCACGTGGGGCTTGAACTTCCGAACCGTGAGATCACGCCCTGAGCCGAATCAAGAGCCAGACATTTAACCGAGTCACCCAGGCTCCCTGTCCTTCCTCTTCAAACCACGGTGGGGGTCTCATCTGAGGACTTGGTGTGACAGCCAGGCCAGCGAGTGTGTGTGACTTGCTGGCTGAGTGCTGACTTTCTGTGTTTCTGAGCGGAGGGTAGTTTCTGGTCCTCTCTGTCCTGGGCTTTCCAGCTTCGGGAGGGTGACTCCTCGTAATCTTCCTGGGCTTCCTTAACTAGCTGGTTAGTGGAAACAGAGTCCGGGGTCCGGTTAGCCATCGGGGGAGGAGAAGAAGAAAACGGGCAGTGCAGTTTGTGCCTGGGGAAGCTGTTTTTCCGGACGCTGCACGTAGCGAACCGCATGGCCGACGGGCACACAGGGACACAGGGCTAGGAGGCTTCAGAGCAGGGAATGCGCCGTAGTCTTGGGCAGAAGGGCCTTGGCCGAGGGAGGAGGGAGGAGGCAGGGAAGGTGTGAGCATTGCAGGGGGCCAGAGCATGGCGGGGGGCAGCGAAGAGGGAGGGGAGAATCACGCGGCTGACTGCCCATGTGTTGGGGGACCCTTGCTGACGTCAGGGCACTTGCTAGAGGATTCTGATTGCTTTGTCTTCCCACCAGCCCTCCGTGTGCCCAGCTTCCGTGGCTGGACAGCAGCCCCAAAGCCTCGCTGGCCCTGCTGGGGGGCGGCCGGCCGGCGGGCAGTCTCCTCGGCCCCGACGGCCCTGGCCGGCCCCCCCTGCCGCCCGCCGAGCTTCAGGCCTCTCTCCACAACCACGAGCTGGCCCTGGCGGAGCCACCTGATGCTCTGGGCCCCCTGAGCGGCCCAGCCTTCCTGGGCTTCAGTGCCGCCCCCGGGGGAAGCGGCCATGCGCCTGGGGATGACCCCGGCGCCTTGCTGGCCCATTCCCACGGAGCACCCCAGGCCCCCGGCGCCCCGCGGACGGCAGCAGCGGCTGGTGACAACGGCTTCCTGTCCTCCGGCTTTCTCACGGCCACGCCTGGACACAGCGGCCATCACAGCCCGCTGAGCCTACCCGGGCAGCCGCCCCTCCCCGAGAAGAAGCGTGCCTCGGAGGGAGACCGGTCTGTGGGCTCGGCCTCCCCTTCCTCCAGTGGCTTCTCCAGCCCCCACAGCGGCAGTTCCGTGAGCATCCCATTCCCCAGCATCCTCCCGGACTTCCCCAGGGCGGTGGAGCCAGCGGCGCCCAGCACAGGTAGGCGCCTCCGCCGGCGGAAACCCCGTGTGTGCTCGCTCAGCGAGGTGGGGGGGGGCCCCAAGAGCGGAGCCCAGAGCCGTTTAGCGGCGTCTCTGTCCCCTTGCCCACCCACGGTGGGTTCTCTTTCTCCCGCCACCGGGCATTCTTATTCTTCGAAAATACTTTCCTTTCTGTTTTTTTTTTTTTTTTTTTTTTTAAAGTTTATTTATTTTGAGAGAGAGCGAGATGACAGGGAGGGGCAGAGAGAGTAGGAGAGAATCCCAAGCAGGCTCCGCGCTGTCAGCACAGAGCCCAACGCAGGGCTCGAACTCATGAACTGTGAGATCATGACTTGAGCTGAAACCAAGAGTTGGACGCTTCACTGAAGCCCCCCCAGGCGCCCCTCCCCTTCTGTTTTCAATGCAGTGAGTTCATTTGAAATTTTACTGAAATACCTCAGGAATGAGGTAGTGACCTGATTAAGCAGCCCCCAGCCTCTCCGTCCGCCTCTGTCCTGCTGCCCGGTGCTGCCGTGTTGCACCGAGTCTGTGCCGGTCAGGAACCCCGTCCCCAGCTGGCGCCCACCTAGTTACAGAGAGCACTCTTTCCCTGGGACTCCCCATCGCCCCGCGCTGGACTTTGAACGCTTGGATCCGTGAGACATGAGCTGTTGCCATAAAATCTCCGTAGTTACCGGTTTTATGTTCTGTTTTGCAGATAATGCAGGTGATAAGCATGTGTCCGTGAACTTTGTCCAAGACACATCCAAATTCTGGTACAAGGCGGATATCTCCCGAGAGCAAGGTGTGTGGGCCAGAGGGGACCCAGATTGGGAACGTCCCTAGGTCATGGCCTTGGGCAAGGCCTGCGCTTTGTCACCTGCCTCTGCAGAAAACGCACCTCTAGGTTTTTATGGCAGAAATTTGGTGTTAATGAGGGAGCTGGGCAGATGCGAGCGCTGGCCGTGAGCATGGCAGCATGCCCGTGTGCTTTCCGGTGGCTTCCGCCGGCCGCAGCCCATGGCCGTTGGCAATGGTCCCTGTGGATTGTCACGGGCAGATGTTCCCTGTGTCCCCGTCCAGGCCGCGAGCCTCGGGGGAGAGAGGAAGGGCAGAAGTGTCCCCATTATGCTTCCCTCTGTACCTGTGGTTGTCCACACCGGAAAGACAACAGCTTCTTCCCGAAAGACACAGGAGAGGTGTCCAGGAGGGGCGTGGCCAGCTGGGGAAGGGGTGGGGTCAGCCCTCATCCTGACGCAGCCTGGGCGGGGTCGCAGGGTGAGGGATGTGGCTGCATGTACAGTGTCTGAGCTGAATCCCGGAGGCCGCTGGTGGGGGTGAGTGGGGCTGAGCGGGGACAGCATGCCTTGAGCAGGGAGGAGGGGTGGGGGGCAGGTCCTCACGCAGCCTCATATGAGGGACAGTTCCTGCACAGAGTCCTCAGGCCTCATCCTGTAGCTGAGTTCTCAAAACTGCCTGGAGGGAAACAGTTAAGAGGCTAGAAAACGGCGCTGCTCAACTTTCTCATTGGAATTCCTGTATTCAGTTAAGTGGATCATAAACACGGCAGGAATGTGCCTTTCTTCCCACGGGCTCAACGAGCCTATTGTCACGTTCCGGGGGGAGCCCGCAGCCGGGGGAGACCTCTGAGTCCCTGAATTGGCCTTTGTGGCTGATCCGCGTAGCCATGCGCCATGTTCTTGTTCCCTCCCTGCTCGTGGCGCAAGAGCTGCCATGATGGAGGCCGCGAATCCCCGTGGGACTGTCTGAGAGGGACCTGTCAAGCACTGTGTTCTAGAAGATTCTGTGCAGACTTCCTCTTCTGCTGGTGCAGCCTTCAGCCTGGGGCAGTGGGCTGGGTGGGCTTCCTGAACAGCCGGGCCCTGCCTCGGAAGGTTCTGGAAAGGTCTGGTGCCTGGTAGGCATGCAGGGGCATCCTTCTCTGCCACACGTGTGCAAGTATTTCCCTGCTGGGACTTCTCCTCGAAAGAGCTCATGTGTGCACTGGGCGTGGAGATTCCCAGTCGAGCCATATGGAGCACAGTGTTCTCCATTTCCTGTCTTTTGTGTAGAGGTCATGCCCTCCCACTAGCGTTCCTTGGGCTCCCGTCTTCTGCAAATGGCAGAGAGCTGCCTGTGGGTTTGGTTTGGTCTGTGTTTTGACTCTGGTGATGTGCCCTTTAGGGAACGAGATGGGTCATGTACTCTCGAGGTGCCCTGGGTGATTTCTCAGGATTTTTCTCTAACCTGCACGGAAAAGTACCACAGGGGGAGGAATGAGATACAGCTGTTCTGGCAGCATGCGCCGGCCCTGGGCCCTCCGCTGCCCCCCACTGCCCCCCACCCACTTCCGAGGGGAGCATGAGGTCCATGCCGGGTGGGGCCGCGCCGTTGCGCCCAGGATGTGTCCTGGCCATTCTGTTTCAGAGCAGGGTCTGACTTTGTCCTCAAGCCCCGCTACCGCCCTCCACAGGGCAGGCTGGCCGCCCCACTGCCCATGAGGCTGTGCCTCCTCTGTCCGCCACCGCGAGGGAAGATTGAGGCATTCAAAGGGAAAGAAAACGCCCCGTGGGGTGGATCACACTTGGAAATATTATTCTCTAAGTGATCACGTTCTCCTGCTTCCACAAAGCACCGCATGGTCAGTCCCCGGGTGCAGAAACCTGTCTCAAGCAGAAGCCGGCCGGTGTTGGTGGTTGGGTCCTGGTGCCCCAGCTCGCCCGCCTCCCCTGCAGCCCCCAGCCCGTGTAGACAGCCAGGCAGCAGGGGCGAAGGCACCCTCCCAGGGCCAAGCCAAACCTGAGCGGAGGGAGGGGTTCTATCTGTAAGCTGCGGTCACTGGCCACATGCCCCCCAGCCTCAGGGAGGGCAGCCCAGCTATCAGCCCTGACTGATGATGGCCATGTGGGTGGGGGGCTCCCAGCCCCATCCAGGCTGCCACGGAGCCACCAGATGGAGGGCCACCTATGGCCACGTGTTAGCCATCCCCTGCAGAGAATCTTGGGATTTGCATGAAATCTTCAGTGCCTTCTGGAGCCCGTCCTTTTCTGTCTTTAGAAAATGTAATGCGAGCTTCTGTCGTGTGTGGGAAGCACACGCTCTAAAGTCTCTAAGAAAAATTCCACCCGGGGAGAGGGCATCAGGCGGGGCTCTGGCAGGGATGGGAGACTGCCTTGCGCCTCTTCCTGCGCCGCCACGTCGTGTGATGGGGCCCTGGGCCGGGCACCTCCGCTGGGGCTGGTCTCCTGGGGACCCTCAATGGGGACTTACACCTCACAGAAGCCGTGATGTGACGGCGTCCTGTGGTCCAGGCGAGCTCAAGGACCACGAGCGGCACCTTTGTGAGCCAGCGTTTGTGGGAGGTTCTGCGTCCGTGGCAGTCAGGCCCTCCTCGAAAACTGTGCATCATCACAGAGCCCTCCACCCAGAAGGACGCGGGCCTGCTCCCCCGGACCCCTTTTGCAAAGGCCGTGAGCAGAGGCGGTTCACTGCCCCAACTGCAGACAGGCGCGGGGGCCCCGGCAGACACGTGTGTCTCTGCTTCCCTCCGCAGCCATCGCCATGCTGAAGGACAAGGAACCCGGGTCGTTCATCGTCAGGGACAGCCACTCCTTCCGAGGAGCCTACGGCCTGGCCATGAAGGTGGCCACGCCCCCGCCCTCCGTCCTGCAGCTGAACAAGAAAGGTAGGGACGGGGGTGGGGGGGTGGGGGGGGTGTGGATCGTCGGGTGAGGTAACCCTCATGGAGGGCGTGTGCCTCACATTTCCGCCACAGAGACAATACACAGCTCTCACAGCCGCGCCCAGCTTTCCTCCTGTCTGTTTCCCCACCTCAGTGCAGTCCTCGTTCAGGCAGGGACCCTAATTACTTGTGAGTTTTATTTCTTTGCTGCTTGGAGTAGTGATATGTTCCTTGGCTCAGCCACCGGAACGACAGAAGCTGCCTCGCTGCGGCCCCCGGGCCCCGTTCCCCACTGGGAACCTCGATGCCTTCCTGTGTCTTCTTCCCGCCTGTCCATCCAGTGCGTGGAAACACGCGCTTTTCCTTCCCTCTCGCGTGAGGGCTGTGTGCTGCGTACGCGGTTCTGGGCCCACGCTCGCAGAGCCGTCCGCGGGGCGGAGAGTGCTGCTGGGTCGGCCTGCAGTCCTGGCACGGCCTCTCCCTGGCCCGAAGAACTGCGTACGGCCATGCTCTCGTCTTCCACGGAGTCTCTGGGACCCTTTTAGTCGTGAACGCAACCGCGTGCCGAGGAGTCCGCGACGCCTCCTCGATGGGCACACGCTGTCGTGAGGTGAACACCGTGTTCCCACGACCCAGGAGACGAACTTGGGGGCCCCTGCACGCCCCTCCTGTGCATCAGAGTCTGCCGTCCCGGGATTTTGGGGGTACTCCGGCAGCCCAGAGGGGGCTCTGCGAGGCCCTTGGTGCTGGCCCTGTGGGGACCAGCTGTCCCCGCCCCGCCGTTTCCCCAAAAGTCCCCGTGTCTGTGTGCTGGAGGAGGGGCCTGGAAACTGGGCTGTGTCAGTGCCCGGGGACCTTCTTCGTGTCCCTGCTTCTCAGTGACCAGAGGAGGGACCGTTTCACTTCAGAATGTCAACAAGTTCATACCGATAGAGTTCCATTAGGGAGTCACGTGTCCTTTCACTCCCTCCCTGGTGACACGCCCAGTTGCCACCTGTCTCTTCCTCCGTGTCCTGACGCACATGATTCAGATCACCCAGGGAGGCCTCCTGAGTATGAGGTCGAGTTAAAGCTTTTTTATAAAACCACCAAAATAGGGGCACCTGGGTGGCTTAGTCAGTTAAGCGTCCGACTTTCGCTTAGGTCATGATCTCGCGGTTCGTGGGTTCGAGCCCCGCTTCGGGCTCTGTGCTGACTCCCAGCTCAGAGCCTGGAGCCTGTTTCAGAGTCTGTATCTCCCTCTCTCTCTGACCCTCCCCTGCTCACGCTGTCTCTCTCTCTCTCTCCTAGAAATAAATAAAAATATTAAAAAATATGTTTAAAACACGATGGAAGAATAAGCCCAAATATATTAGTTTAAAAATATTTTTTTAACATTTATTTATTTTTGAGAGACAGAGAGAGACAGAGCATNAAAAAAAAAAAAACCAAAAACTACCAAACTAGGAATCCCTGAACGTCAAAATTGTGCCAGCTCTGGACCTGGTAGGAGAAAACTAACATGTATTTTGTGACTTGCTTTCGCTCTTATTATAAGATTCATTGTTTTCTTTTTTTGTTTTATTTTATTTAATTTAATTTTTTGTTTTAGAGAGAGAGAGAGCGCAAGCAGGGGAGGGGCAGAAGGAGAGAGAGAGTCCCAAGCAGACTCCACGCTCAGCGCTGAGTCCGACTTGGGGCTCTATCTCACGAACTGTGAGATCGTGACCTGAGCCAAGATCAAAAGTCAGCCGCTCAACCGACTGAGCCTCCCAGGTGCCCCAAGATTTATTGTTTCTACTTGTAAGACTGCCCATTTCTGTTGCTGGCTTTTGTCACTGACAGCTTTTCAGGATGTGAACAGGGGCCCCACCTCAGACACCTTGTGGGCACGGCTCCAGACCTTTCCATAGAGCCCATATCGCAATAATGCGCATCCAGTAAGCTCTTTGGACTCCCAGTGCATGTAAAAGTCACCTCTACTCTGCTGTGGGCTCTTATGTGTGCAGTAGCCTTGAGACTAAAAAAACAACATTCAGTCCCTTAATGAAAAAATACTTCGTTGTTAAAAAAGCTAACCGCCACCTAAGCTTTCAGCTTGGCATAATCACTGATCACGAATCGCTGTAACAAACGCGATAATAATGAAAAGTTTGAGGTATTGCAAGAATGCCAAAACTGGCTCAGACACAAAGTCAGCAAATGGCGCGATAGACTCCCTTCACACATGGTAACCACAAACCGTCAGTTTTTGAAGAGCACAACATCAGGGACGTGCAGTAAGGCGCGAGGCAGTAAATCGAGGCAGCGTCCCCTCTGCCTCACCGGGAACCAGGCTAGAGCCCATGCTACACTCGCCTTCCATGCCCAGGACCCCAGAGGGTTTATGGAAACCCGTGGGCAAAGGCTCTGCTCACGGCATCCAGGAGAAGCTGGCCTCAGAGCTGTGCCTGCAGGGACGTGAGGTTTGGCGGTCAGGGCATCCAGCCTCAGGTGTGGCCGAGGGGGTTGTGGGAACCCCGGGTGTCCGTCTGGGCACAGGTAGGCAGGGGTGCACGTGACTCAGCGCAGACCCCGGGTCTGGATAGTGGCATCTGGAAGCGAGGCAGGAGGAGGCTTCCTGCAGATCATGTACAACAGCTCTGCCTTGAGGGCGCCTGGGTGGCTCAGTCGGTTGAGTGTTCGACTTCCGCTCAGGTCATGATCTCACGGTTCGTGGGTTTGAGCTCCCACGTCGGGCTCTTTGCTGACAGCTGGGAGCCTGAAGCCTGCTTCGGATACTGTCTCTCTCTCTGCCCCTCCCCTGTTCACACTCTGTCTCAAAAATAAACTAAAAATAGGGGCACCTGGGTGGCTTAGTCGGTTAAGAGTCCGACTTTCGCTTAGGTCATGATCTCGCAGTTCGTGGGTTCGAGCCCCGCGTCGGGCTCTGTGCTGACTGCCAGCTCAGAGCCTGGAGCCTGTTTCAGTCTGTGACTCCCTCTCTCTCTGACCCTCCGCTGCTCACGCTGTCTCTCTCTCTCCTAGCAATAAATAAAACATTTAAAAAAAAAAAATAAATAAACTAAAAATAAATAAGTAAAATAGAAGGAAGAGCTCAGCCTTGAGGAGCTCCCGAAGCCGCGTGTGTCCCCAGCAGTCCTGGACCAGGACAGGACCACTGGTGTCTGTGGAGACGGGTCCCAGTATGAGGCGGGGGCGGGGCGGCGACTGCCAGCTCAGTGGAAACTTCTGGCCAACGTCTCCCCTGCATGGAGGACGCTGGGAGTGTGTTCTCACCTCCAAGTGTGCATCCACCACGCAGGCTGACTTAGACTTAGCCCAAGGTGCAGGTGACAAAGCAGGACACAGCACAGCATGTCACCGACATCTGCTGGCTCCCTGTCCTCGCCCAGCCCTGGTCCTAGGATGAATTTGGGAGGAAAGAGCCCACCGTGCCAGGATCCCACCTGTGGTTCCTGGGGACCACACGGTGACAGACGTCCTGCAGGACAGATCTGTTGTCCAGGTGGCTGGCCGGCTGTCTGTCCCACAAGGCACTTGTCACCAGGGCTGTCTGTCCCCTTCAGTGCGGAAGGCGCGGGGTCCTTTCCCTCCCACGGGTGAGGAGGTGCCATGCTCTTCTCCACCTGCGTTTACCGCAGCCTTTCCGGGAGTCTGGCCGTTTCCCTCCCTGCTGGGGACACCAGTGTTCTGTGCAGCCGCAGTGATGGGGGGCTTCCTTCCCGAGGTCTGTTAGGCAGCTCCTGGCTCAGTCATGCCCACAAGGCCGGCTCCTCCCGCTCTCCTCGGTGGCTCACTCTACCCCCTTGCGTCCCGATCCGTCTCCTGTCCCCTTGTCCGGAAGGCAGGAAGGCACCAGACGCCATGTTCCTGCTCGCAGCTGCTGACTCGTTCCCCTGCCTGCAGAATGTCTGTGGGTCTCTCCCCAGCACCCTGTGCCTCCGGGCAGTCCCCTGGGGGCTCCGGGCTCGTCCCCAGCACAGCCCACCCACGGCCGATGTTCTGTCCCCTCTTCACCCTCCTGGGCTCCTGTTTTTCAATTCTCTCCTCTTCCTTTTAAATCCCTTCCCACAGTGGGAGATCTGGCCAACGAGCTCGTGCGGCACTTTCTGATCGAGTGTACCCCGAAGGGAGTGCGGTTGAAAGGCTGCCCCAACGAACCCTATTTTGGTAAGTGGCCCAGGGGGCACAGTCCCCGTTTTGGCCCATGCGGTGCGTGGCCCCCTGCACCCCGAGAGGCGGGCCGTCACCCCGAGGGTGCCTCGCTCCCTTAGAGTCTCTGGAATAAACCGGGACTGGAAACGCTCTGAAAGCCTCTCCAAACCAAACGGATGGGAAGCAGGTTCAAGGCTGGAGTGCGGATGTCCACAGGTAGCGCTCTGGTGGGCACGCAGGCACAAAAGCATGGGCCGGGTCAGAGCCCAAGCGTGGCCCCGTCCCCGGGGCACACAGAGAGGTGAGGACCCCCAGCATCAAGCCCCGTGTCCCTGCCAGACCAGACGCCCACCCTCGTGGGCTTGGGAAGATGCCCAGACGTGCGTGCAGACTTAGTCCTAGCCCTCAGAAGCACTGGCAGGGGCCACGGAGGTGGCCTCAGGCTCGGCAGAGGCCGCCTTACTCTTTCTGAATTGGTGACTCTGTGGGCTGGGAGTCATTTGCAGTTTCTTTATCTACTCTTAGCTTTTTCTTTTTTTACTGTTTTATTTTAATTTTGAGAGCAAGACAGAGTATGAGCTGGGAAGGGGCAGAGAGAGAGGGAGACACAGATTCGGAAGCAGGCTGCAGGCTCTGAGCTATCAGCACAGAGCCCAATGCGAGGCTCAAACTTACGAACCGTGAGATCATGACCTGAGCCGAAGTCAGACGCTTAACCGACTGAGTCCGCCAGGCGCCCCTACCTCTTAGCTGTTAAGTTGGGCTTGTGAGTTTATTGCCGTTCTGTGCAAAACCCCACAATAATGGTTGCTAAAAATATAAAGGGCTCCCCATCCAGGGCGGCCTCTTTCCAGCGGGTAAATTGGCTGAGCGATGCGCTAACTCTCATCTGTTCATCTGTTCGCAGGGAGCCTGACAGCTTTGGTGTGCCAGCATTCCATCACGCCCTTGGCCTTGCCCTGCAAGCTGCTCATTCCAGACAGAGGTACGCTGGCGGGCCCCGGTGCTGCCCTGGCCGTGTGTGTGGGCGCATGTGCGCACGTGTTGGGCACAGCGGTGCCGGGTCCGTGAAGAGCCCCCAAGGGATACCGGCCCAGAGTGTGCTCTGTGGGTACACCCTAAACATGGAGCGCTTGTAGTGCACCCGGGCCCGCAGACGTGAAGCCGCCCTCAGCTACGTGGTCACATTATGGGCTTTGTGAACAGCCTCTCTGGATGTAAAACGCCTGCCCCGAGCGACCTCCGAGGCCATTTGCACTGATGTTTATGATTTTACAGAATCAGGAAGATGTTGATATCTTTCATCTTAGACGACCGAGTGTCCTGTTTGCCTTAGTGACTGGTTGACGGGCTCTGTTGTTAGGGAGCGAAGCCCCTGCCTCAACGGTGGGGTCGCCGTATTTTCCAGCTCCCTGGGGAGGCAGGGCAAATTCCGCGGAACGTTACTATGTTCCATGATGATGAATTTACAATTCGGGAGGTGCGGTTTACCTTTGAAATCGTGGGTGCACGCCGATGCAGAGGCGAGGAAGATGCCTTGCTGGTCTGGGTCGCCACACTCCTGCCCAGAACTTGGTGCTGCCTTCTGGGGGTGGGGCCGTGGTCCCCAGGAGACACTCCCGGGTCCCAGGCACACACGTTACCACCCGGGAACCCCGTCGAGTGCGACTACACTGTGAAGACCCTGCCCCGAGAGCCAGGCTCACTTCTGCCTCCTCCTGCTCCTTCCCGCAGACCCGCTGGACGAAATAGCCGAGAGTTCTCCCCAGACTGCGGCCAACTCCGCCGCCGAGCTGCTCAAGCAAGGGGCAGGTCAGTCGCTGGCTCCCGGGGCGGGAGGGGGGTCAGGGACATGGCCTCCATTGTCATCTTGGGTCTGCGGGTGTCCTTTCCCAGCCAGGTGCGAGAAGGAGCGTGCTTTTCTGGGGGCCACCCCGGGACAGAGTGGGCACCGAGTGTGGGGACAGGACCAGGACTCTCTGGGCCACAGATGTCCCACCGCAAATGAGCCGAGATGGTAGGAGAGAGTCCAGGGCCATGTTTCATCTGGGGCGATGGACTGTGGGGTCGTGCCTCCAGCTACAAATGTACGAGCGCTGGCCGTATGGTGTCACCCATGCTGCCCCAGCCCAGGGTGACAGAGCCCTGGACGCTGGGCTCACCTGCACACTTTTTTTTTTAACTAATAGACTTCATTCCTTAGAGCACTTTAATTTCACGCTAACATTGAAAGGAAGGTATGGAGATTTCCCATGCACCCCCCCCCCCCGCATCCCCCCC